TCGACGTGCGATTGTCTCACGCAGAGGGTTGGACGCTGACCCCTAGCGCCTAGCCCTAGGCTTAAAAGGGTGGGCCCTGGGGCGCCTGCGGCTTATACGGCTTAAAACCGGCCCGGGCCAGTTTCAAGGCTGCCTGGGCCGCCGAATCCTGTAACGGTCTTAAACGCTTAAAAGGTGCGGGAGAGCTCCCGAGGCGCGATGGTCCGGGAGGCTCCCGGTAGACACGCTGGAGGCCGGGAAGCTGGCTACAGTCAGCTAGCACGCGTCCCCTATGCGAGTATGGCTCCTGCCAGTGCACCAGACTTACAGATGTGTCTTCAGAGGCGGGTTTGTGCCTAATAACGGCAGTATTGGAGAAAACGGCGCGGAACCCAGCGACGCATGCCGGCCAGGGCGATTTTCTTAAACGGTCTTAAAAGAGGGACCCCCCGTGCCTGCAATCTCTTACATGGCAAGTTAAGCCCCCAAACCTCCTCGTTTCTTAAAAGGTCTTAAAAAATCCGGCCCTCAGAACCCTAGGGGTCCCCTAAGGTCATGGCGCCTTTCACAGGGCGTTCGCCTCGTACGCGTTTTTTATTAGCAGGAGAGACGTCCTTCATCTCCAATTGTGTGAGTGTGTCGTGTGTGTCCCCGCCATGGTGTGTCCTTTCCGGGCTCAGAAAATTGGAGTTTACATGATTCTCAAGTGATTTCTCCCCCCCCCCCCCCCCCCCCGGGGGTTTTACCCTCCGGCTCCGCGTGAGGATCGGCGCGGCGAGGGGGTAGAGGCTCGAATTCGCCGCGCAACATTTCACCCCCACAGGACCCCGCCCTCCCCCCCTCATTGGTCCCACCACCTAGCACCCCAATCTTGCCTTCGCGCACCCTCTCCTTGTGCGTGGTGCCCCCCCCCACTATGCACTATATTGTGTCGCCGTCTTCGGGCACTGTGTGAACGGGCTAGCTCAAGGTTGCCTTAGATTGTCAATGGAGAATGGCCGCGTTCTCGCCCCTTTCCTGTACGCGTGGGTCTCAGAGGACGAATGCGCACCGGATCTTCGAGGACTTCAAAGTCGGCCGCGCCCCACGGCTATCCCGCCGGCTCTCGAGTGTCGCAGCGCGACGCGCTTCACCCCTCGACTCCGCGCTGCGAGTCGATCTGGAGACGACGCTCGGCCACCGCCAACTCCACCCTGACGCGTCGCACATGCGCCGAGTGTCCCCCCCGAGGGTGTCCTTGTATAGTATGCTTGGTTGCGAGTTAAAAAAAGCCCGTTCCGCACCCGCAGCCAGCAGCAGTACACATGCCGTTCTGGCGCCCCTCGGCTGGCCAGAGGACGACTCACAATGCAAAATCGGAAAGACATCACGAGGGGCCGTATAAACGGTGCCGCAGCAGCCCGGGACACTAACAGTGAGTTGCTGCCACTCGCCCGGCCTCCTCCCCCTCGGGCTCGCCCGGAAAGTGGGCTTGCGCACCGGCGCCCCCCCCAGCACGCCGACCCGAGGTGTACCCTCCGGCCACCTGGGAGGGGAGCGGAGTCCGATTTTGGCCCATTGGCTTCATCATGATGGATACGGAGGTGGCCAGCCCTTGGTCGTGCACCTGCGGCGCGAAGAGGAGGTGATCTCGGCGGACGACGGCCATGCCGAGAGCGGGTGCAGCGCGGAAGAGGGTGCGCAGCGCGTCGCGGCCGCGCGCATGGGAGCCGGGGGGATGGCCGGAGGGGGCGGGACGCCTGCATGTCCTCGAAGCTCCCAGCCGCATACGCAAGCCGAGCCGCGAACGGCGGGGAGGGAGTTTTGGAGGGTCAGCCAAGGACGCGCATGGCGAGTGACAAACTAACGCAACCTCGCCCCTCCCTGGTTTCTCATCGTGGGGCACGCAATCCTGTGCAGTCAGGGCAAGTGGGGGCGGGGGGCAGTCCCTTTGACGTATGTATCTCTGGGTAGGGTTCTCGTCTCAACGAGTTTGGTTATACACAAGAGAGAAGACAAAACACACACACACAAGAGAGATCACACACATGAATTTCACATGCCTGCCTTTGTAGCCTTGGAGGGTGGCGCGCCCAGGGTGTGTTGGCGTAGCTCACCTGCCGAGAACTCGCGAAAGTGTCGGTGGTGATCCCTCAGCGCTCAGGGCACGCTCACCCCTTCCACCGCCGCCCCCTCGACCATCACCATCACCCCCTCCTTGGCGAGCGAGATTGGGAGCGCCACGAGCTCGGCGGCCTCCTCCTCCGAGAGCCGCTCGAGGTAGGAGAGCGAGTCGGGGGCGCTCGTCCACAAGTGCGAGAGCGACGAGTGCTGCAGCACGTGCGAGACGGCGCCCGCCGCCAGGAGAGCGAGGCGCCCATCCGCCGGCGATGCGTCGGGGGCGGATGTGGCGAGCCGGCGCATCACGCCCAGCCCCGAGCAAAAGGCCGGCGCGCCGCCCGTCGCCGTCTTGCCGATGGGGATGCCCGCGCCGGCCAGCTTGCCTGCCGGCACCGTCGCTCGCGCGAGGCTGGTCGCGGGCCCCTTGGCGGCGGTGGCGTCGTGCCAGAAGAAGGCGGCCGCCATGCGGGCGCGCGGCTCGGTCGACACCAGCGCCGCGATCGCCGGCGGCGTGATCGCGGACAGGTGCGGCGCGACGAGCCGCGCGCCTCCGAGCCCATACACGAGCCCTACAGCGGGAGGAGGAGTGGTGGGTGGCGATGCCGCGGGAGGGCCGCCCGAGGGGCAGGCACGGAGGGCGCCGAGGAGGACGAGGGCGGCGTCCCGGATGAGCGCCTTTGCCGAGCCGTCCTCCTTGGCCTCCGAAGGCGCCGTCGCGAGCGCGACGAGCCGGTCCACGCAGCCGTACGCGGAGAGGAGGGAGAGGGCGGTGGCCGCGTCGAGCGAGCGCGAGCTGAGCAGGACGACGAGCGAGCCGAGGGCGCGGCGCAGCGCCGCGTGCGGCGCGTGCGAGGTGAGCGAGACGCACAGCCGCGGCAGCGCGCGGTAGCCCTCGGCGCTCGGGCTCGCCGCCGCGGGTGGCAGCGGCAGCGCCGGGGGAGGCTCGCGGTGGAAAGTTCCCACCGCCGCCGGCTCGGGCATCACCAGCGGCAGCGCGAAGCTGGCCTCGGTCAGCTCTTCGTCGGCCGAGGAGCGCGCCGTGGCGACCGCCGCGAGGTTGGCGATGGTGCCGAGGGCGAGATCCGACGCGGCGGCGTGCGGCAGCGCCGCCGCCGCCCACAGCGTGTCGACGAGCTTCTGGCGCATCCCCTTGTCCTTGCCCCTCTCGCGGAAGCAGGAGGCGGCGCGCGGGTCGGACGAGGCGTTCTGCAGCGAGGCGAGCGCGAGCCGCACGCGGACTGGGTGGGTCAGCGAAGTGGGCGGCTGGACGACAGGCAAGATCCGGTCGAGGACGACGCGCCCGAAGACGGTCGCGCCGCCACCGAGCAGCGGGAGCACCGCGAGGCAAAAGAGGCACGCCTGCGCCGCCGCCTCGCTAAAGCCGTCGTTTGACCAGCCGTTGGGCGGCGCAGCGGTGCGGAGAGCCGCGGCGGACTCGGAGCCGAAGCCGTGCAGCGCATAGGCGAGCCTATCGCCGACACGTCGCCGAGAGGTCGCCGAGAGCTGGCCGAGAAGTGTGCGCCGCGGGGCTGCGCGCGGGCGAGCCTGCGCGCTGCGAGGGAGGACTCGAGCAGGTAGAGCAACGTCTCGTCGTGCGTGCCGCGCTTCCACGCGAGCATGAGCAGCCTCGCGAGGCGCAGCGCCGCCGACTCGCGCAGCCTCGGACTCACCCACGGGTGGAGCGCGCACGCCAGCTGCGGCACCAGCGCAACGTCGGCGAGGCCCTCGCCCTCCGCGGGCAGAGCGGCGAGCGCCCGCTCAAGCTGATCGGGCGGCGGGACGGCGGCAGAGTAGAGGACGGCGGGCGGAGGGGGGGGCGGCGGCGGCGGCTCGAAGGTCGAGAGCGCAGAGCTCTTGTGCTCGATCGAGAACCAGAGCCGCGCGTGCGAGTACTGCTCGACGTTGGACACCACCGCGCAAGCGAGCTCCACCTACCGCGCGGG